ATTTTGATCAAATTACTTTATTGAATTAGTAGTGCTAATTGGCTCATTGATTAGTGCAACCAAAAAGCCGTTTTAATTCTAAGGTTGAATTTTAATTAGAATTAGCTGCATGACACCAGCAGCTTTGAAGCCCTGGAAGAGACTGTCAGGCCCGCTAACGGATCCCTCAGCTGGCAGATGCTGCAAAGACCCTAGCATCTGGACCAGGGACAAGGACTTCATGCAGTGCATCACAGCAGGGGGCCCGAGCTTCCCATTTCCCATCCTTCTTGCTTCAGAGACTTGAGGCTTTTCTATAAACATGTTCACTGTTTCGACTCACAAGCATGCAGGGAAGAATAGATGTCATCTTTTTCACTGAACCATTGCCAGGAACAGAAATGGGCCTGACATGTACCGGGGACCTGGTAATTCTTTGCCAAGAGACCCCTGGCTTCTGGCGCAACATAGGAAGCCAGTGGACTGGACCAGTTTTGTGCTGAGGATCTTGCTGTAGAAAAATCTCTCTGAATTAGGAAGGGTCTTTCTCGTGCTCATAGCTCAGACCAACCTCGCATTGTGTGTCTTGGTTCCTCCCAGTGGAGCCTGAGGCAGGGGCTCAGTGCGTGTGGACTAAATATGAAGTGTTTCCAGAGGGGTCCTGGAACAGGGCCAGACAGCAGGAGCTGCAGAGCAGGTGTGTGTTCCCAGCTGGGGCTAGCCTTGACTCTGATCCACAGCACAGGGATGGCTCCATATGGAAGCAAGGGGCCAGCTTCCTGGGTTGGTGGGTTGGGAAGGGAAAGGTATTTCTCACAGGAAACAGTTCCTGTTTGGCAGGAAACTTGAGCAGCAAGTAGGAGCAGGCAGGGTTTGTTGATCAGGAGCTGCTGCGGCAGGGCATTCCTCAGGTTGCAAATGAGTCCAGTGACCCTTGGGGTCACCTGGACAAGCAGGTTTCAGGTGTTCGTTTCTTTGGTTAGGATCCAGCTACCCCAGATCCCCTGGGTCCTGTGGATTGTTCTAGAGATGCCAAGTATGATCACTCTTTTCCAGGCAAAGGAGGAGTTGGAAGTAACTCAGAACTTGGTGCGCTCTGTAGAATTCTGGCAGCCCACTCATGAGGGCGGTGACACTTGACATGGGTCTGAAGGCAGCATGGGAGTGAGGGTACTTGCGTCCCCTGTGTGAGCAGAAGGCAGCAGGATGTTGCTTGGCTGATCCCAGGAGACCAGCGTCCTCGTCCACATTCCCAGGCTAGCCCACTGTATAACCTTGAAGAAAACATTCCCCAGTCTCTATTTCTCCTTTAAGAAACAGATGGGAAGGGGGAATCACTTGCTTCCCACATGTGTCTTTCCACCCTACCGTCCCTTCTGTGCCTCAGTGTGCCTAAAGATGTCAACTTCCCCTTCCCAACTGCCCTCGCCCCGTTGGATGATGTGAACCTCCCGCCCCGCCCCGTGGGCCCCAGAGTAGCAGCTGTAAGCACATGTGACTACAACTTCGATTTAGATCCAGCCCCTTGGTGCCTGTCTTCAACCCTCGTACATCAGGCTGTCACCCTGTCTGTCTCCAGCTGTCTTTTGTTGGGCACAGTGCTGAGAACTCCATGTGTCTCTCAGTCAATCCTTGCAACAGCCTAAGAACACGCATACACCCTCCCAATACATCACAGACCCTCCACTGCCTCTCTCCCACTCTCTCCTAGAAATCAGGCCACACCCTGCTGCAGCTCTATTAATTTAAGAGTATTAAACCCTGCTTTGTCCTCAGGAATTCACGGTTCTTTCCTTCAGAACCTCCATCATGTTATATGTGGACACTGTCTCTCTTTCTCTCCCATTTCAAGGCCCAATCATATCTGCCCATGGTCACAAGACTCTCTCTCTCCCAATAAAGCTCTGAAGGGTAATTCTGTGTGGGCCCTTTTCTGTGAACCTGCCGTAATGATTAACACCACCCTTATTTATGATTAACACCACCCTTATTTTGCATGTGAAGGCAAAGGATCAGAGAAGGGAAATGGCTTTATTCATGGCCACGTGTAGTAGGAATCTTATTAATAAAATCAAACCTGAGCCAGGTAATGGGGTGAGCACTGGAAGGTCAGAGAGACAGAACAAACCACAGCTAACCTCACCTGGCCAACTTCTCGGCTGGTCTTGTTTCCTCAGACTGGAAGCCTCTGTGTCCTCATATCCCAATGGCTCTCAGCTGAACTGCTGCTAGAAAGCCTGAAACCTTAACCAGCCAAAAGCTGCTAGTTTCTGGTCCTCACGCCTTATAAACCTTTCTGCTTTCTACCACTACTCCCTGGGATTAAAGGCTGCTTTCTGGGATTAAAGGCGTGAGTCACCATGCCTGACTGTTTCCAATGCGGCCTTGAACTCACAGAGATCCAGAGGGATTTCTGTCTCTGGAATGCTAGTATTAAAGACGTGTGCTAACATTTTCTAGCCTAAGTATCTTGTGGCTTTTCTGTTCTCTGACCCCAGATAAGTTTATTAAGGTACACAATATTTTGGGGAACACAATACCACCACAGCCATGGAGGTGCTTAATGTCACAGTGGATAGAAGCACACCCCCTGACCCCCTCCTCTGTTCTTACAAACCAAGTGCTTGGTGGTAGAAAGTAGTCATTGCAGAAGGGACTCTGGATCTGTAAGCTGAGCTGTGTAACAAACAATACCCTATGCTTAGCTCTTGTAGAGGACTTTGCTCATGTAACAGGTGAATGAACTATGTGAGCTGCTACCTGGCTCAGTGTTGCTCTGGGAGCTTTCTCAGCCTTCGTTAGGCTGAAGGCCTATTAACATATCAAAGCCGACTCTGGCTGCGACAGAGTCCTGGCTCCTCTCAACACTTCTCACCCTACCCCTTACTCTAAACCTCTCCAATCCCCTCCGGGTCCCCGCCCCCGCTCCCCCCCCCCCCCCCAGCCAAGCTTCACGTCCCTTTCCTTATCTTCTGTTTTCCCTAAAGCTCAGACATTTTGGCTATGTGCTCTCTTGGTTCTCTTTGCCCTCTTGGTCTTCTTTTGTCTCCTTCTCCTCTTCCCCACTTGTGTTCTCTCTCTCTCTCTCTCTCTCTCTCTCTCTCTCTCTCTCTCTCTCCTCTGATGTTCCAGTCTCTTCTGCTGGCCATGCTCACTCTGGAGTCTTCCAGATGCCTCTGGCTGTGCCCTCCCTCGTAGGTACAATAAAAACCTCCTCCTCAACCATAGCTAGACGCGGTCATCTCCTCCTTTTCCTTCAGGCACCAGATGTATGAAGTGAGAATGTGACCACTCCAAGATATGGTTGAGGAAGATCAGTTTTTATTGTAGATAGGAGGGGGAGAACAGCCAGAGGCATCTGGAAGAGTCCAGAATGGGGAGAGAAAGTAGTAGACAAAACATGGCTGGTAGAATGGACCAGACCATGATGGGTGGGGGAAGAGGAGGAAGAGAGAAGAAGACAGAGAGAGAGAGAGAGAGAGAGAGAGAGAGAGAGAGAGAGAGAGAGAGAGAGATCCAAGAGAGCATGTGACTGAAAAGGCAAGGTTGTATAGGAATGAGAAGTTGGGGGAAGGGAGTGTCTTCTGGACTTGACAGGGACCCTGAACTTTTTATGATTGGAGAAGGCAAGCCGACCACAGGTGTCCATCCATCAGTCTCTTGCTCTCTGTTCTTGACTGATGCTGATGTGACCAGCCCCTTCAGTTTTCTGCTGCCTTGACTTCTTCTCAATGATGGGCTGTAATCAGGAATCATGATCCCAATCAACCCATTCCCCCTTAAGTTGCTTTAGTCAGGGTGTTTTATCATAGCATCAGAAGACACACTGAGACAGGCGGTGATCGTAATGATATGGTGTTCTTTGAAATCCTGGTGAGGCCCGGGCGGTGGTGGCGCACGCCTTTAATCCCAGCACTTGAGAGGCAGAGGCAGGTGGATCTCTGTGAGTCCGAGGCCAGCCTGGGCTGCAGAAGAATGTTCTCAAGTCAGACCCATAACTGTTAAGTTTGGGTCAGGGGCCTTTCAAGCCGTGTTCACCTGCGGCAGCCTCCACACTCAGCTGACTTAATTCCCACATCTACAGGGAAGTAATAGGCACTAATAGGCACTGGGACAGTCTTCCTTCCTTGAAGGAAGATTGCTAAGACTCTAAGCAAAGGAGCTGCACGTCACATATCCCAAATGATGGACACACATTAACTCTAGGGCAGAACGTCTGCCTTCCTCTGTTCCCCGGGAATCAGAGATAACCTGAAGGCAGGCACATACTATGGGCTACTTATCAACTACCGGGCAGGGGAATCCCTCCCCCACCTTTGAAACCTGTAAGATTCCCTCCCCCATCCTTTGCTGGGTTTCCGTAGTGCTAAGGACTCACCCAATAAATCTCTTACCCAAAAGGACAGCCTGTCTCTGGACCCCATTTCTGAGACCCTTAACAACAACTTGCTGCAGGGGCTGGGGTCAGAGAGGTTACGGCCTTTGACCTGGGACCTTAGCTCCAGCTGAGGCTCTGTCCTCATGGTCCCTCAAGTGCAGCTCACATTCTTCCCGCTGCCCGTTCCCCGTGTGGCATCTACTGCCCTGAGATTGGGATGTGTGCTGGGCTCAGCCTCTATTCGTGGGCCCACAGGAAAGGGCTATGCTCTGCTTCCAGGTCTGCTTTCAGCCATATTCATCCCCCTGGGAGTAGGAGGAGCTGGACCTGCCAGCACCCCCAATAGTTCACACTCTGGGGCAGGTGCTCCACATTTAACACTTTGGAACTGAAAATGGTCTTGGAGGCCTGGTCTCTAGAGCTTTGCTGTTTCCGCTTTGGACAGGAAGTAGAGACATGCGGCTCTCTCGCTCTGTCTAGTGCCTGTTTTAGATACTTGTGTGTTCTTCCCTGGCACTCAACAGTTAACAGGGCCGTCCCCCCACTTTAGAAGCGTGCTGTGCAAACTGCAGGAAATCCCTCCTTGACCCCACAGCATCAACCTTCCTGCTGGTGATGCTCAGCTTTTGTTTCTGTTTTTCAGACGAAGACACTGGGTCTCAGAGAGGTCAAGGAACTCCTCTGATGTGGTGGCACCGCAGGTAAGCACTCTGTTTCCCTTGCCTCTAGAAACTGTGCTCTGAGTTGTCTGGGATGGTGTCCACCGAAAGCTGAGCTGTGGCTTTGGCGAATTGGTGACCTCATGCAGAACTGTGGGCTTACAGGAAAGTGCTGTGGGGCTTTGAACTGAGAAGGGGGTTGGTTTGTGGTTAGGACACTCCCTAGCTCCAGGGTTCTGATTTGAGGAATGAGTCCTAGGTGAGTGGCAGAAGTGTACCCACCTCCCTAAGAAGCCCTCTGAGGACCCAGCTCTCTAGGAAGCAGAACGCTGAGCATCAGAGAGGCCAGGCGCCTCCTCAAGACTGCGTCACATCCTGCCTCAGCCACAGAGGTGCCCACAGACGCATCTCACCCTCAAGTGACACTGTCATGGGTGGTTGGACGGTTACACCACCTGGTTATTTTTGGTTATTTGCTTTTGCGAAACCAGAGGAAGTCCCTCCCAGGAACCGATAATTTGTTTGTCCGGGGTCAAGCAGAAAAGGCAAACTCCAGACTTAAGGCCTCTGGGTCACAGGCTGCTGTCTGGCAGGTTCCTCCCACCCCTTGTGAGCCCAGTCAGAAAGAACCTGGTTCCCAGCCCTGAGTGTTCCCCAGTGTCCCAAGGCACTGTTTTCAACTGGGGGCCCTGGGCAAGGCAGGCTAGTGAACTCCCAGGTCAGCAGGGGACACAAGAAAAACAAGTAACTTGAGCCCTGGTGCAGTGCCATCTCATGGTTAAGGCATGGGAAATGCTGCTAACCGAGCCAGAGGAAATGACAGCAAGGTGACTTTAAGGGGACCAGGAGGACCTTTGGGCAGTCATGAATGCAGTGAGGGCTTAGGGTGCTTGATGGCTCAGTTCAATCAAGTCCTGCCTCACAGATGTGAAGACCCGAGTGTGGTTCCCACACTCACATTTTCAAAAGCTGGGTATAGTGACACATACTTGCCACCTTAGCACCAGGGACACTGAGATGAGCAGATCTCTGGGGTGCGCTGGCCATCCAGCATAGCCTCATTGATCAGCTCAGGTCCCTGTCTCAAAACGCAAGGTGGATGGCTCCTGACAAAACTGACATCTGTCATTGACCTCCGACCTCCACATGTGTACCTGTGCACACTCATGCATCTACACATGCGCGTGTACCTGAGCAGACACAAAATAACAAGCAAAATAGGTGATGCAATGAAAGAACAAGACTCTGGGGTTTAAAAAAAAAAAAAAAAAAAAAAAAAAAAAAAAGACTGTCTACACAGCAGTGTGTGCAAAGGCCCTGAGTCAGGCAATGTCCTTGGTACCCCATTGCCCAGTTCCACCTTGATTCTCCGTGTGTTCAGTACCCGCCCTCCCCGCCCCCGCCCGCAACACAGTCACCACTCCTTTCTGTTTTTCTCTGTCTGTCTTTTCCAAGTGCCTGTAGGACCAGGAGGGAACAAGAAAAATCAGACAGTTGAATGGGGGCAGGACAAAAGTGTCTCTAACAGGAAGCTGTTTGCTCCAGTTGCTCTCAGTGAAACTTGAAATTCTTTCATTTTGTGGCTTTGCATTTATTCTCAAGATGCATTTCAGAGATCGGGCTGTGAGCCCTCCGCACGTGACTGTGTGATGTCAAGTGGAGCAGGAGGCTCCATTCAGAAAGCAAGGCTGGACTGCTGTGTGGTGCTGGCCTCGGGGACGGAAGCCCAGTAGGCAGGGACTGGAGCTAGAAGGATGCAGAGGCATGGCCTCTATCCAGGTCTAATTCTCCAACATGTGGAGACACTGGCACCTGCTGTACAGTTCCTACAGCTGCTCCTACTGTAAGGGATGAGCTGAGAAAGTCAAGGACCCCGAGTCCTAGCCTCAATATCACCACAGACTGGTGGACATCCCTAGGCTGGTTGCATCCCCTCAGATGCTAAGGTAGGGAGGTGGTGGCAGTGGGGTGCTTCTCTAACCCTGAAATGTGACAAAGCTTGTCTCTGAGGTGAGCTGCGGTGAGCAGGGGGACAAGCCCCCTGGCAGCAATCCCCCATTTTATCTCCAGGCTTCTGGCTCTTAACAAAGAAAACCTGGGAGCCGCAAACCCTCGCACTGCTTAGGGCTTCCAGGCTGGACCTTTGGACCAGCTTTGTATCCCCAGACCCTCCAGGGCCTGAAAATGCAGAGGCTGAAACTCATTCATGGGAACAGTTGAACGGTTCTTTCCTGGGGGCCCAGACGGACTTATTAAACCTTCCATGAACTAAAATTTCATTCAGCTGGAAAAAGAACAATCAGAAAGCCCGTGCTGCCTGGATCCAGGCTTGGAGCGCCTGTAAGTATCTCGTAAAGGAATGGACCAAAACTCCAGCCCTGTGGGATGCAGCCCAGGCCTGCTGCACCCTTCAAGGGGCAGGCTGTGGCTCTGTCAACAAGCCTGCTTTATTAGGCATCATCGAAGTGTCCCGATCCATATGCCTGATATGAAACAGATCCTCATGAAGGCCAAGGACCCAGTATAGGACTCCAGCACAGACTCAGACACTGTGTATACCCTCCTAAGAGACCCTGGAGTAAGAAAACTGCTGTGTAGACAGCAGTAGGTGCAAAGGCCCAGAGGCGGGGAATGTACTTGGTACCCCATTGCCCTCTTCCAGCTTGACTCTGTGTGTGTTCACTTCTCAAGCATCACAGCCACACTCCACTCTCTTTTTCTCTGTCTGTCATCCCCAAGTGCCTGTTGAATTGGACTGTGGCAGGGGACAAGAGAAATATATCAGTTCAATGGGGGCAGGACAAAAGTGTCTCTAATAACAGGAAGCTGTTTGTGGGGATCTTTCATCCTAACAGACTTTCCCTACTGGGCAAAGTGCTGAGAGTTCTCGGCTAATTCATTCTTGCAGGCTGCAAAATGTAAATGTTTAGAAATTACCCCTCACTGTCTTGTGTGTGTTTTTTCCCCCAGTATCTTCCCGGAATCCATTAGCTTACCGTGGTCCTGTTGATAGCCAATTTTGTCTTTTTCAGTCAGGTCGATTTTGCCTCTGGTACCGTATGTCCAATAGCCCAAGCATCCTGTGGAGCTGGAGACCCCGCAAAGCTCCAGGGAAGGTGGTGCTGAGACCTGGGGTGCTCCAGCTTCGAGGAGCCAGGGACAAAGATCTGCTCTGTCACCAAGATGTCACCTAGAGTGATTTTGTTAATAAAAATATTTGGACATGTAGGTAGCAGAATAATGGTGGCGTGTCATCTCAGACTTGACTTTTATCCCACTCATGAGGAAATGCGCTACCCGATCCCTGCTTCCTCGAGGCTTCAGAGGACATAGGACTCCATCCAGTCTTACTTTCTTAAGTTCTGAGAGGCAAATAAAGGCCAGGACCAAGGCTTGCACATGCAGTGCTTTGCAGTATGAAACAGGAACCTCAAATGTAGGGTGCTACCATTTTGCAATAGAGGTGCAGAGCCTTCCAGCCTGGCTTTTGTACGAGTGTCCGCACAAGCGTGCCTGTTGAACGCAGGAGATGGGAAGGAAGTCTTCCAACCATGGCAGCATTGGAAAAACCAGTGACTAGGTAGAGACTGAGTAATGGAACCTCGCTAGATGTATCACAGCCTCAGCTTCCTCATTTGTAAAAATGCAGACAGTGCCTGCTGTCCAGGTGACTGTTAAAGGCATTCCTGGTCGCTCTTCTAGGAGCACAGCTGGCACAAAGCCAGAGCTGGGGGAAGGGCGGAAAGGAGGAAGTGGCGGATGCTAAGCTTCAGGCCCACCCTTTCTGCTTTGCACAACAACCCTTTATGTTTCCTAGCGACTGTGTGATCTAGAAAACAAAGGTGAAGAGATGCAAAGGTGATAGAGACAGGTCGTCCCAGAAGCCATCGTTCACCGGACCCAGTATCCTGCTTTGAATGGAGGAGCAATCTGGTGGGGAAGAGCCCCTGGGCAGGGCAGAGAGACTGTGCAAAGTCCCTGGGCCTGTTGGCCTGAGGAGTCCCATGGGGTCTGCTGTGACTCTAGAGAGCAGGAGAGGTGCAGCCAGACAGGAAGAGAGCCAGCTTGAATAAGATTCATTTTTTATGTTTCTTAGTCACTGCTTGTCTTCCTGATGACAAAAAAATAAAAAATAAAATAAAATGCATTTTCCCAGGGCAAGGCCTCTCTTTTATGTACCAGTTATCCCCAACACATATCACTGCAGGGACTGGGCAGAGCTACAGCAAATACTTTCACAATGATGGAACTAATACCTTCATGGTGATTCAAGGTGTGGTAAAGTAACCTTTAGATTTGTAAATATATTTCATTTATTCTTTGAGAATTTAATGTATATGTATAACCTCTTTTGATCATAACTACCCCCCTCCCCTCTAACTCTTCCCAGACCTCCCCACCATGTCCTTCTCCTAATTTCATGTCCTCTTTTTACATTTTCTAAATTTTAAATATGTTCCATTAGTGTTGCCTTATTTGAATAGGTGTAAGACCATCTACTGAAGCATGGTCGACCTACCAGAGGTCACATCCTGAAGAAAATTGTCTTCCCCTCCCCCAGAAGCCACCAAGTGCCAATAGCTCTCAGCTAGAGGTGGGGCCTCATGATCTCTCTCTCTCTCTCTCTCTCTCTCTCTCTCTCTCTCTCTCTCTCTCTCCCTCCCTCCCTCCCTCCCTCCCTCCCTCCCTCCCTCCCCCCTCTCTCTCTCTCTCTCTCTCTCTCTCTCTCTCTCTCTCTCTCTCTCTCTCTCTGTGTATGCATTTCTGTCTCTGTCTGTGTATGTCTCTGTCTGTCTGTCTCTGTCTCTGTCACACACACACACACACACACACACACACACACACACACACACACACACACACTGCAATGTTGGCTGGCTTGATTCTGTGCAGGCAACCACAGCTGGTATGAATTGATGAGTGCAGTGGTTTTGTTGTGTCTGGAAAACACTGTTTCTCCCGTCTCCCATTGCCTCTATCTCTTACAGTTTTTCCGTCCCCCCTCAACCTTTGAAGGGAGAAAGTGTGTTACAGATGTTGCA